TGGAGAAGTTTAATGGAACTTTGGGGGCCATGATACGTAAATTCGTAAATGGGCACTCCAATGATTGGGACCTAGTGTTGCAGCAGTTGCTCTTTGCCTACAGAGCTGTACCACATCCCAGTTTAGGGTTTTCCCCATTTGAACTTGTATATGGCCGTGAGGTTAAGGGGCCATTGCAGTTGGTGAAGCAGCAATGGGAGGGATTTACACCTTCTCCAGGAACTAACATTCTGGACTTCGTTACCAACCTACAAAACACCCTCCGAACCTCTTTAGCCCTTGCTAGAGAAAACTTACAGGATGCTCAAAAAGAGCAAAAAGCCTGGTATGATAAACATGCCAGAGAGCGTTCCTTCAAAGTAGGAGACCAGGTCATGGTCTTAAAGGCGCTCCAGGCCCATAAAATGGAAGCATCGTGGGAAGGGCCATTCATGGTCCAGGAGCGCCTGGGAGCTGTTAATTATCTCATAGCATTCCCCACCTCCAACCGGAAGCCTAAGGTGTACCATATTAATTCTCTAAAGCCCTTTTATTCCAGAGAATTAAAGGTTTGTCAGTTTACAGCCCAGGGAGGAGACGATGCTGAGTGGCCTGAAGGTGTTTACTACGAAGGGAAATGTGCCGGTGGTGTGGAAGAGGTGAACCTCTCCATGACCCTTGGGCGTATGCAGCGACAGCAGATCCAGGAGCTGTGCACTAGCTACGCGCCAACGTTCTCAGCCACCCCAGGACTGACTGAACAGGCATACCACTCCATTGACACAGGTAATGCTCACCCAATTAGGGTCCAACCTTACTGGGTGTCTCCTCAAGCTAAAACTGCTATAGAACGGGAGATCCAGGATATGTTACAGATGGGTGTAATCCGCCCCTCTGAAAGTGCATGGGCATCTCCAGTGGTTCTAGTTCCCAAACCAGATGGGGAAATACGTTTTTGCGTGGACTACCGTAAGCTAAATGCTGTAACTCGCCCAGACAACTATCCAATGCCACGCACAGATGAACTATTAGAGAAACTGGGACGGGCCCAGTTCATCTCTACCTTGGACTTAACCAAGGGGTACTGGCAGGTACCGCTAGATGAATCTGCCAAGGAAAGGTCAGCCTTCATCACACATCTCGGGCTGTATGAATTTAATGTACTCCCTTTTGGGCTGCGAAATGCACCCGCCACTTTCCAAAAACTTGTAGATGGTCTCCTAGCGGGATTAGGAGAATATGCAGTCGCCTACCTTGACGATGTGGCCATATTTTCGGATTCCTGGGCAGACCACCTGGAACATCTACAAAAAGTCCTTGAGCGCATAAGGGAGGCAGGACTAACTGTTAAGGCTAAGAAGTGTCAAATAGGCCTAAACAGAGTGACTTACCTTGGACACCAGGTGGGTCAAGGAACTATCAGCCCCCTACAGGCCAAAGTGGATGCTATCCAAAAGTGGCCTGTCCCAAAGTCAAAGAAACAGGTTCAATCCTTCTTAGGCTTGGCCGGTTATTACAGACAATTTGTACCGCACTACAGCCAAATCGCTGCCCCACTAACAGACCTAACCAAAAAGAAACAGCCAAATGCTGTTCAGTGGACCGAAAAGTGTCAGAAGGCCTTTAACAAGCTTAAAGCGACACTCATGTCTGACCCTGTACTAAGGGCCCCAGACTTTGACAAACCGTTCCTAGTAACCACGGATGCGTCCGAACGTGGTGTGGGAGCAGTTTTAATGCAGAAAGGACCTGATCAAGAATTCCACCCTGTAGTGTTTCTCAGCAAAAAACTGTCTGAGAGGGAAAGCAACTGGTCAGTCACTGAAAAAGAATGTTACGCCATTGTCTACGCTCTGGAAAAGCTACGCCCATATGTTTGGGGACGGCGTTTCCACCTGCAAACCGACCATGCTGCACTGAAGTGGCTTCACACCATCAAGGAAACTAACAAAAAACTTCTTCGGTGGAGTTTAGCTCTCCAAGATTTTGATTTCGACATCCAACACATCTCAGGAGCTTCTAACAAAGTGGCTGATGCACTCTCCCGTGAAAGTTTCCCAGAATCAACTGGTTAAAATCGTCCTTGAGATGTGGAAAATATTGTTAGTCTTTATGTACTTGGTAGTATATTTAGAGATGCATGTGTCTTCTTAACTCTGTTTTCCTAGAGCTCCAGGAAGAAATCCCAGCCAGTGTTTCACCCTAGCTGAGATTTGGGGGCCGTGTCATAAATATAAAGGGAAGGGTAAACCCCTTTGAAATCCCTCCTGGCCAGGGGAAAGCTCCTCTCACCTGTAAAGGGTTAAGAAGCTAAAGGTAACCTCGCTGGCACCTGACCAAAATGACCAATGAGGAGACAAGATACTTTCAAAAGCTGGGAGGAGGGAGAGAAACAAAGGGTCTGTGTCTGTCTGTATGCTGGTCTTTGCCAGGGACAGAACAGGAATGGAGTCTTAGAACTTTTAGTAAGTAATCTAGCTAGGTATGTGTTAGATTATGATTTCTTTAAATGGCTGAGAAAAGAATTGTGCTGAATAGAATAACTATTTCTGTCTGTGCATCTTTTTTGTAACTTAAGGTTTTGCCTAGAGGGGTTCTCTATGTTTTTTGAATCTAATTACCCTGTAAGATATCTACCATCCTGATTTTACAGGGGGGATTTCTTTATTTCTATTTACTTCTATTTTTTATTAAAAGTCTTCTTGTAAAAACTGAATGCTTTTTCATTGTTCTCAGATCCAAGGGTTTGGGTCTGTGGTCACCTATGCAAATTGGTGAGGCTTTTTATCCAACATTTCCCAGGAAAGGGGGGGTGCAAGTGTTGGGAGGATTGTTCATTGCCCTTAAGATCCAAGGGTCTGGGTCTGTAGTCACCTAGGCAAATTGGTGAGGCTTTTTACCAAACCTTGTCCAGGAAGTGGGGTGCAAGGTTTTGGGAAGTATTTTGGGGGGAAGGACGCGTCCAAACAGCTCTTCCCCAGTAACCAGTATTAGTTTGGTGGTGGTAGCGGCCATTCCAAGGATAACGGGTGTAATATTTTGTACCTTGGGGAAGTTTTGACCTAAGCTGGTAAAGATAAGCTTAGGAGGTTTTTCATGCAGGTCCCCACATCTGTACCCTAGAGTTCAGAGTGGGGGAGGAACCAAAACAAGCAATACAGGATATGACATCATTTTCCTGTAAAAGGAGCTGAGAAGCCTTCTCAGAGGCCTGTGAACCAAGGCAGGCTGGCCCTGTTTTCATTCCTGTAGTTATTTTTCTACCATCCTGGCTAATTGGACAATACAACCGAGGTATCTTTGATTTGCAGCTAGACAAACTGTGAAAATGTCTAACCTTAGCCTGGAGTTCTCTCCTTTAAAATCAATACTATCAGGAAACATAAGCAACAGCAAAACATCTGAGCAATCAGAAAAACAGAAAAGGGTCATGAAAGTGTTAGGGAACAGAAAGAATGAGTTGGACGAGAAAAGCTTTAGCAACACCATAACACTAGCACTAGTTAAGAGAGAGTCTGTAACAAGTTTAATATCAGAACACTAGATATAGTAGCAATTATCCCTAAGTTTAGAAATGCAAAAGAGAAGATACTGTGAACTAGGTGTCATAGTCACCGGGCAGCCTGTTTTAGACTCTATTAGTCTTTCTCAAGTGCACATTTGTGGATCAGCCTTGCTACTATCACACTTCTCTAGAAAGAACCACGTGGTTCAGCCATTCTGGATCTGGATTTCTGCATGGCAGCCGCCCCCGGTTCCCAACCATGTTAAGGCAACAGGCCCAACTGGCCTTAGCACCTGTCAGCGTCTCAATTCGGGAGCCTGTAATAGTGCAGGTTTGCAGTGACACAGAAACAGCATCTTCAGAACATTAGCGTTATTTATTCATTCTTGCAGAAAGAGGTTTTTTTGTTTTGTTTTTTAATTCAATTTCCATGAGAGTTTGGCTCAGAAGCCTGAATAAAGGAGTCATGCTCACCTGATCAAATAACAGATATACCGTTTGATCAATCCCAACTGAGTCAGCTCAGTCCGAGTTTTGTGATTCAGGTTTTGAGTAGCAAGCCAGGAAGTAATTGAAATTTATGAAAATACTAATAAAAAATTAAATAGCAATAGCATGAGATTTCATAGCTGTAGCTCACGAAAGCTCATGCTCAAATAAATTGGTTAGTCTCTAAGGTGCCACAAGTACTCCTTTTCTTTTAGCATGAGATTCTGTGACCCCAAAATAGGCAAGATTTATCAAATTATTTGTTACAAATTAGTCACTCAGCACTTATCAAGAATGGGTATTTAAGATGCAAAGTGTGTAGACATGGTAGTGTGGCTGTCTGGTACTGAATTGTACTGTTCTAACTTGTGCTTACCTATATTGATTAGTTTCAATTACAACGGCATTAATTTCCTGTTTGACAGCTGTTTGATATCCTCTATGTATTAGACTGATAGTATAAATACACTTCCTCGTGGTGTAGTAGCCATGGAGATGGAATTACTGTGTCACACTGAGACACACTGGTGTAGAAGTGTGAGGAAACTAGCACTGTATGTGTTCTGGGGCATGCAGGCCAGGAGCTGTCAATCTAGCCCCTTTCAGTATCATGCTTACAAGGCTTCATGTGGTGTATGTGCTAAATAAAATGTGCTATCAATTTAAAGAGATATAAAACCTGTTGGCAAAAATGTTAATACATTACTGGTTGAAAAATACAGGATTATCTTTGTGAAAATATTCAAACAAATTTTACAAAAAAAAATCATCAACATTTTGAATTTTCAGACATTTCAAAACCTATAAACTGGTGAAAAAATAGGAAAAAAATTAAGCTTTGCAAAGTTTTAATAATTTTGAAAAAATTTCAACCATCTCTACCAGTGCTCATTACTTGCCATTTTTTTAAATTGCCATGTTGGATTTGTGCGCAGATTTGAATATCATAATCAAGAATATAAAAAAGCAATCTGCCTGTGTCTTAACTATGAAGCAGATGACTAAATTCTCCACATACTTATTACAGAAACTCCTTGAGTCTTCATCATCCTCTTTAGTTTTATCGGCTGTTGACTGTCAGGCTACCAGTTACCTTTTGGATTATCTTCAAGAATCAATGGATTGGAAGCTAACAGACATAGACGAGTTTGAGATATCTAAGCTGGAAGTAGACACATCCAAGCCCAACATATTTGTGGTAAAGCTACAGCCAGTCAGCAGGTATGGAGCTTGTTGCAATAAAGATTGGAATGGACATTTCTGTTTTCAGGATTTTCAAGCCTTCTTGAACATGCCATGTGTATTAACCATCTATATAAGCCACTAAAGCCCAGATTTGTAAAAGTTATTGAGGCATTGCTATGCTCAGTGTTGCAACACCTAACTGATTTGGGATCTTATTTTCAAAAGGAATTTAGGCACTTAGGAGCCTGAATCACATTGACAGTGAAGTGGCTGAGGGCCTAAATCCCTTTTGAAAATTGGATTTAGGATCCTAAATTAGCTAGGCGTTGTAATGCTGAGCACAGCAACACTTAAAAACCTTTAAAAATCTGTGCCTAAAACAATAGTGTTACAGGATTAAGAAAGTTATCAAATTTTTTGCTCTAAATACACACTCTGTATTATTTCACATTGCCTGTTAAGTTTACCAAGGGCAATATTTGAATGATGTAGAGAAGGTCAATCATATTTTACCTCTGTCATTATCCTAGAAACATTGAGCACCGAATGGAATTAAATGGCAACACATTTATAACTGATAAAGGGAATTATTTTATGCAACACATAATGAACCTGTGGAATTCACTGCCATAAGGTATTCCAGAGTTTAAGAACCTAGCAGGATTATAAAAAGGATTGGATGTTTATATCAATATTGAGATCAGTCTTAGCCACATTAGACAGGATGAAATTATAAATATTAAATTATAAATGGTAAAATTTTAAAGGAAATTATAAAATCCTTCATGTTTCTGGGACTAAGCCATCTTCTCTCTGACGGGGTTAGGGAGAAAGTTCCTTCATAGGCATGTTATTGCATGATTGTTAATTATGGGGCTTTTACACCTCTTTCTGGAGTGTCTGGTATGGAGCACGGTTGGAGATAGGATACTGAACTATAGGGACCATTCTCCTGACCTGGAGATTTCTGTGTTTCTGTTTCAACAAAAAGCTACGAAGTTTATAGGCAGTCCTATCAGGCGCTGTCAGAATTCCTGTTAGGTACTTTATCTCAATATAGTCATACAAATTATTGAGTTTGACAGGACTTTGATTATTTTATTTAATCTGATAATAACTTGTTCTGTTGTCAATTTCACCATTGCTTGGCATATTTCTAGCCAGCCTTTCTATTCTCTTCCAAGTGACAGCAGTGATAAATTACTGTAAACATTTCTGTCACTGATGTCATGAGAGGAAAGAGCACATGGAGATGCTTTTAAACATAAAAGTAAATTGTACATGTGAAAAATCTAAAGTTACATTGAAATTTATTTTGCCTCTGTGCTCATTGGAATTTACCCTGTAACACCCTCAAGTCTTTGAATGCTAGCTTTTACATTTGTAGCTCTCAGTACAATTCAGTACAATCAAGCAACTAGTTTACTTTGAAGTTGATGCTAAAAATTTGCAGACCACATTGCAAGATGTTGAGAGCAACATAAAGCAACTTTTAAAATATTAGCTTCCTATTTACAATGTTGAGTTTTGCTTATTGCTCTGCCCTGAAGGCCAACTTATGCCTGCCCCATGCCAAAGGGGGAGGCAGATACTGGGCAGTCCCTTCTTGCCCTAGTGGACCTGCACAGGAGGCAGCTATAATTTGGTTTGCTGTGCTGAGGAGCACTGCCAGCAGCATTAGGAACCCTAGAAGAAGCATGTATGGGCACAGTGAATGTGGGACCTGTCCTGCTTGCAACACTAACCCCACCAAGCATCAACGTAAGAGTGTTGGGGAGAGAAGGGCTGGCTACACAGTTTGCAATGGTGTCGCAAGTCCCTCTGCTCAGTTCATTCCCCTGATACCTCCATACATGCACTGTTGCTTGAACGGTGGAGCTCCTCCCTCGCTCTAGTATAACTCTAACTCTATCAAAGACATAACTGAACCCTAAGATAGCATAATGTTATATAGCATGTCACAGTACAGATACAGGCAAGAGCTCTGTCCTAAGGGGCTTACAAGCTAATATCAGACAACATGACATAATGAGAGGGGACAGAACTTAATGAGAGGGAGTCTGGGGAGGGAAGGACCAGGTTAATACCAATAACGTGGGTTCTTGTTCTGGGGAATTCAACAGCTTGATGGAGCAAAGAAGTTTGAGTTTTTCAGGAATAAAATAAATACTTCTTAGTTGACTAGTTTCTTGTGGACTTTGCAGAAGAAAGAAATGGACTTTAAGGATTGAATAAGAAGGGAGTAGTGGCTTTGCAGATCAGCATAGGAAGGGCATGCCAAAAGTGGCCTTTAACGCCAGACATTTCTTGAGAATATTATTCTGGTCTATACAATATTTTAATTATCTTTCTTTTTTTGTATAGATTAAATGATATTTCTACAAAGGCTTTCGCTGCAAATGGTAAGCAATGTGGCTGCTGTATCCAGTGTTTCATGATTTGGTCCTATTTTCCTGAGGCTGCATGCTATACCTTCTAGTGATTCCCAACAATTGGTATGATACTATTATTAATTCTTTAGGATTCTTTTAATCTATCTGCACCTATATTACTTGTCTATAGCCAATCACCATAGCATTTAGGTACTGACAGCCTGATCCAAAGTCCACCGGAATCAATGGAAGTTTCCCAGTTGACTTTACTGGATCAGGCCCTAAATATGACTGGTCTTTTTGTGATTGATACTATGAATTCCATCCTTGCTTCAGTGTTAAGCCTCTGCTCACTGTGTCTCCTATTTACTTCTGTAAATTTTAGCCCACCCACCCATATGTTTGTACATTATAGTGCACACAACTAAATAGGAGGTGTCAGCTCAAGAGGGCAAGATTGAGGTCTTAGTCTAGTAAAATGGTACACATGATTGAAAAGATTGGGAAATGCTTCTCCTGCCTCTGTAAAATGATAATGGGGCCCTTCAAAGAGTGCTTGATTTTAAGTTTAATTTGTTGTTGGTTTTGTAGGTACCACACAATGCTTTTTAAGGGGGCATCAGTGCACACATTTCTGTATTAAAAACCTTTTTCCCCCCTAGGGTATGTAAGCTAGCTGTAAAACAATTACTATATGCAAATAGACAGCCCTAGTTTTCACAGGGCTTTAACTTGGGCTCCAAATTAGAACTCCTATTATGAGGCTTGCAAATAACTGTAGGGGCAATTCTCAGGGTTACCAATGATTGCACACACAATCAATTCATTACTGTAGGTGGCTAAGTGGCTATACAATGTGCCTATAATTATGTGTGTCCCCAAAACTGCAGATCTAAAATCAGAGGCAGCTTTTGGAAATCAGGAAGAACTTCTTAGTTCTGAAGTTAATGGTGCTTTATTTTTGAGTAGGACAAAGTGAATTTGATTTTTAAGTAGAAAGTATTAGCTGGTCTCTGTCTCTGAATCACTGAGGCACTATGGTAGCATCACTAGCCAAAAAAAGCACAAACCCCTGGAGAACTAGAGGCTGAGAACTGCCCTAAACTCCACCAGCTGATAGCAGTCCCCAAGGGACATTCCGACAGATGGGGACTGCCAGAGTGTAGCATTTTCTGGCCACACCCCTGAGATCTCTCCTATTCTGGAACTGCAGAGGTGGTGGGATAATGTAGGAATTGGCTATACCCACTCTGTGTATGGGGGACTCACTGCTCCAGCAAAGAAATGGCCAGTTTCTGCTTCCTTTGCACACCTGAGCAGCAAAAGCTAGGCCCTGGCCTGCATTTCAATTGTGTCATCAGCTATATAAAAGTAGAAATGTGTGCTGGCTCCACAATTCATGTTCAGTCCTTTTGGTTCTTTTGCCAACCATGGTGATACCAAAGCACTACCCAGTAACTCCTGAAAATATCAGTGACAGTGAATTTAAACTTAAAAAATGAAAAGTTACTGAACTGCTGATTTAGGTCAATGGTCTATGGAATTGATGGGACAAAATCATATAGGAATCTCACTGTTCTGTTCCAAAAACTGCATTATATAAAAGGTTCGCATTACAGCTTTCCGAATCATGCATTCTATGTTCCAGCAAATCTGTTTATTATTAGCCACACAACGCAATCCATTTGCCAAATGTTACTGCTATCAGGAGACCTCTTGAGGTCACAATTCCTTGCAAGGTCATTAATTATTTGTATTTATTATTTACTGATGACTGATAGCTACTATTGGTGTTTGGACCAGTAACAACAAATGCCATTTGTCACATCCCTGTAACATGACAAGAATGCCGTAAACCAATAAATATTGTGTATTGTTTCTGACAATGCCAACAGTAAAATCAAGAGAAATACTGCACTCCTGTAACCGTGAATAGCAACTCAAAAATACTTGTATGCATGTCACAGTGAATTCTTTACTTTCTTCCCAGAGGCACGCACAGGAATAAAAATTTTCCCGTTTTTGAGGGGCACTTTCTGTGCACCCCATGGCTGGAGGAGCTCTCTCTCTCTGAGCAGCCAGAGGAGCTGGTTTTCCCCGCTGTGGCCCCAGGACCAGTAGAGATGGCTCTCGTCCCCTCCTCCCAGCAGCTGGAGAAGCTGGATCTCCCCCACACCCTGGCCCCAGAGCAGGAGGACCTGTCATCTCCCACCCTGGCCTGGTGCTAGAGGAGCTTGCTCTTACCGTCCTGGCTCTGGAGGAGTTCTGTGCCTCCACTGGTTGGGGGGTGGGGCGTGCCCCAGCTTCCCCCCCCCCCACAGCATGCCCCTGTTTCCTCCCCACTGCACATAGTTTTAAAATATGACACAACAAAACTCCAGAAGACTCTTGTGCAGTTTTATTTACTAGAGATATCATGTTTTGCTTAAGATAAGCTAGAAGTCAGATCTGGATTTCAAACACCCCAAAGTCTGACTTGAAGTGATAAGATGATGTAGGTGGTGGTCAGCATGTTATAGAAATGAGACCAGCTGGGAAATTTAGATTAGGGTTCAGATTCCAAACTTCCCCAAAATTCCATGTATCCAGACTTATGGTCTTGGTTAAGATTTCATTTTCTGTGTGTGTATGTAATAATTGTGAAAAGATTACCTTGGGCTACGTCTCTCATTTTTTAAAGATCATTTTTTTCTCTCTTAGGCCATTATTCTTTCACCTCTTCAAGATACTGTGGGGGGAGGGGGTTTCGTGATTTTTACCTTTGTCTTGCTCCTTCTGTTTCCTTTCAGTATTTTCCGTTTCCCTCTTGTTTGAGGCAGAGTATATGACATTCACTTAGGATTTTCTCTATTTTCCCTTTTGCTAAGATCCTTCCCTTCTCAGTAGGCCCTTTCCTCTATACCAGCTGTCTGCTAAATTCTTCTCCATTAAGTGCCTGTTCCTGCACCCATTGCAGTCAATGGCAAAACTCCCATTGACTTTAATGATCTGGGATAAGGCCCTTAATTGCTTCCTCATTTATTCCTCCTTCTCAGTCTGTTCCTCCTAACCCCTATTTCTTACCCATTACTTTTCTCCATTATTTCTCTTTCTCCTTCCTTCGCTTTCCTATTCTCCTCTCTTGCTATTTTTTTGCTGCCCCTTCTCTTTCTTTTGATTTCTCTCCTTCCATTCCCTTTCCTCTCCCTCAGTTCTTCTCTTCCTTCCTCCCCACGCCCATGGTGTAAAAGTCCAGTGAGGACATCAAGATTGATTAGGAAGTAACATACGATAGTCCTGGTGCTCATCCTGCAGTTCTTATTTAAATCAAGTGCTCACTGAAATTAATGGGAGCTTCAGTAGAGACTGCAGGTTCTGGACCTTCCAGAAGGGAATAGGGGAATTATTTTCTGTAATCAGTTTTGGTGGAGGTTCTTAATTTAGATAACAAATATATAAAAGTTGGGTACTAAATATATGGCTGCAGGATTCTAGTTGTACTGCTACTGGCTTTTTTGTGTTTTAACTTTTAAACATTATTATTTTAATTTCATAAATAGTAAATAGGGGTTGTATTGTGCTGGGTGCTGTATAAACACAGAGCTACACACTACTTGCCTTGAAGCGTTTATAATCTAAGAAACATTCTTAAAGATACTTTCAAATAAATGGATAGTGTGTGTGTCATAGGGTTTTGGTATTTTTTGGTAACAGGTGAATTGTAGTCTTTATCAAACATACTGTCCTGAGGGTATTCCCATGACAACTCCTCTGAATAAATAGATTGCTTCTAGACCTTCCTGAAAGCAAAAAGTCATTGATATTCTTGGTAGCTATAGCTACGCTTGTCTCCTTTTTTCAGTGAAATGCTAAATAATGTATTATTACCACAGAAGTTCTTTGGTTATCTTAAATGAGACACAAACACATTTTATATTATATTATACCTGCGGCAAACAGCGACTCAAGCTGTTGGGTTTTTTAAAGTGACACTGTTGCCTGTGCCTACTGTACATAAATCTGCAGGATGTAATTTCTCAGAGCTCCTAGATCAAAGATATAAAATGTAAATGTCATTTGTGTTGCTGGGGAAAGTCTATGTGCGGGATTTTTTATAGGAGATAAATTTTGTTTATCATTTAAAAAAAACACCTTTAGATAACTGCCTCTCTTGAGTGAAATTGTTATTGTCTTAACTGTGCAAACTTGGCAAAATCCTGCTGAAAAATAGTTATGTAAATTTTCACCAAAGCTGCCTAAGCGTGAGAGCACAATTTCACTAAATAGGAGAGGTTAAAAGGGTAATGAAATGAGAGCAGATACTGATAAATGAAAATTAAACTCAGTTACTGTAGCTTGTCCACTTAGAATCTGTATAAGAAGCCTGTTTTGGCTGGGTTGTGAAATATCCATTCATCGGACAGGTTTGCTTAGTAGACAAGAAGCAGTAACAGTACCAAGACAGGAAATATTAGCCCACTGACTGACTTCTCCATCAATCACACTGAAAAAGCTAACGTTTCTTGACATTCACCACGTGTGTTCTTTATCTTATGTAGTTTTTTCCTAGTGTTTTCAGTTGCAGTTGGCAAACGTGAGATAAGCTGTAAATTGTCATAATTATATATGATTTTATGAATGATGAATGTTCCATAAGAATATTCTTTGGACTCCCTTACTGAAAACTTCTGCAAAACTATGGCAAGACACTGAGTTTGGAAAGCCTGGTACTTTGTAATGATTCCTCCATGTATAGTCATAGAATCATAGAATATTCATAGAATCCCCTGCGCAAAGCAGGACCAACACCAACACCATATAGTTATGCCACCATCTTCATGACAACTTACCTTATTTTTCTCAGAAATGTTAACAGCAGGGCTAATGAATTATCGGTTTCTGCTCCTATTGAAGTCAATAGCAAAGTTTCCATTGACTTCAGAGTTAGTAAGGTCAGACCCAAAATTCACAATGTCAAGTAGAATTATTACTCTCAGTATAGTACATATTGTGCACATATCTTAGGTACACTAACCCTTTGAGCTTTGTTTGGTGGTAAGTTTCCAATAATCATATGCTCTGAACATTCTGGGGTACATGGTATAATTTCTCCCCTTGTAAACACAGTTTACTAATTCTTCAGCTTTATTTTTAATTAGCTGGTAATTTAACTAGCAGTCATAGATATCCTTTTATCATTTGCTGGATGATCTTCTCTTCTGTCACTTTCCTAAAACCCACTCTCGCAGGTATCCTTCCTACTGTACTTTCTTCACAACTTCAGAACCCCTTCTTTATCTGAATTGTTGTCTTGTCTAATGTGGACTGTAACTTCCTTAGGGCAGTGAATGTCTCTTACTCCCTTTTTGTAAATCCAGCCTCAGCTGGAGTACAGTGTCCAATTCGGGGCACCACACTTTAGGAAAGATGTGGACAATTCGGAGAGAATCCAAGGAAGAGAAACAAAAATGGTAAAAGTTTTAGAAAACCTGACCTACGAGGAAAGGTTGAAAAAACAGAGCATCTTTAGAACTGAGCAGAAAGACTGACTGGGTGGGGATCTAAAAAATCTTCAAATATGTCAATGGCTGTTATAAAGAGGGCAGGGATCAATTGTTCTCAATGTCCACTGAAGGTAGGACAAGAAGTAATGGGCTTAATCTGCAGCAAGGTACATTTAGGTTAGACATTAGGAAAAACTTGCTACCTATAAGGATAATTAAGCTCTGGAATAGGCTTCCAAAGGAGGTTGTGGAATCCCCATCACTGGAGGTTTTAAAGAACAGGTTCAACAAACAGCTGTCAGGGGTGGTCTAGGTTTACTTAGTCTTGCCTCAGCACAAGGGGCTGGACTTGGTGACCTCTCGAGGTCCCTACTCGCCCTACATTTCTGTGATTGTAAATTATCATACAACTTGTGGTGTCATATAAATTATTTCAAATAATAATCCTAGTAAGTTTAAATACCTATCTATGCTGTTACTTGTATTATGATCATAGATTTTTAGTTCTCAACTTAGAGTTTGGTAAACTATACAAATGTGTATTTACAGACAAAATAATTGGAAGACTGACTATGATTCTGCAAGAACAAGGAATTCAGTTTTCAGTAATTTACACTGCAGTGAGACCTTCACGGGTGAGTAGTCTTCCGTGTCTAGAGCTGTCAATTTTTTGTAGTATAACAATACTTGCTAATGAATGTTGTATGTGACTTTCAGGATTACACAAGTAAACAGTCAGTCCTGTACAAGACTTTGCACAGAAAGGATTGCCTGGATTTTCAATTACAGACCTGTATTTTTAATAGGCTTGTGAATTTGCCATGTTTTTAGTGGTCTTTATAACTCGTAATTTTTTAAAAGCATAATGTTTAGATTTTTTTCCATTTAATTCTTGTCTTTTGCATAAAAAGGACCTTAAGGAAGAACATATTGGCTCAGGATTATCAAGTCTTTCATCTCTAGAGGGTTCAAATCTAGATCAGGTCATTATTAGCCAGAAGTTGTTAATTAGCTGATGGATGTTAATTGTCCAGAGAACTGAGTTGGTGATCTAAATCTAGTTCCAGATAGATGAGGTTCAGCCAGAACTGACTGCGCTTTTTGATGGTAGTCTGAGGTAGTAATCAAATAGATACAGACACTGGACTATTTGCAGATGACACACAGATTAGTAGTGAGGTAAATAATGATGGGGACAGGTCACTTTTCTCCGTGTGACCTGTTTCTCTTGGCAAGCTGGTTGAAAACAAACAACAAATTTTAATACAGCCAAATGCAAGGAATTCTAGGAACAAAGAACATAAGCCATACTAAAAGGAATGTGGACTGTACCCTAAAAAGCAGGGACTTTGAAAAGGACCTCAGTGTTATAGGGTACATCTACATAGGGATAAAAACCCATGGCTGTCCTAGGTCAGCTGACTTGGGCTTGCAGGTCTTGGGTCCCAGATTCAGATACAGTAGTGGACCAATATGAAGACACTTGCACTGCTGTTGTCTCTGCGGTCCATGTCCTGTGGCTAAAGAGTGGACTTCAGTCTCCAGGGCTTTCAGTCAGGTTCTTTCAAAAGTAGTAAATTCTGTATTTTAAAGAAGGTCCACAATAATAATTACAATGAGTTGTCACAGTTCTTTCCTGTATGAAATGGAAGGAAGCAGTCACTCGCAAATTGCAGATATGCATTTGGTAGATTTCGAAAGAAAAAAATTGGAGTTGGTTACAGGAATGTGAGGAATGTTGAAAGTAATATTGAAATCTGTAATGATTTTAAAGTGATTCATTTCAGAGTAGCAGCCATGTTAGTCTGTATCCGCAAAAAGAAAAGGAGGACTTGGGGCACCTTAGAGACTAACAAATTTATTTGAGCATAAGCTTTCGTGAGCTAGCTGTAGCTGATGAAAGCTTATGCTCAAATAAATTTGTTAGTCTCTAAGGTGCCACAAGTCCTCCTTTTCTTTTTAAAGTGATTCAGTTCAGCCAACTGGAGCTTTATTCAATAATTAAAGTAATGCAGTCATTTTTAATTCTTCTACATTCCACAAACTGAGCCCTCTTAAACTCTTCTACATTCTAAATTCAAGCCCATGTAAAAACACTTCAAATTATTTGCACAGTAAAAGTGATATTAAATTACTGCAGTACTTTCAAGATTTATCAGCTGCCGTAGAGGGCTGTGGTAGGCAGCCAGTACAGCACCTACTGGAGAGTCATCTATCCATACTTCTGTGTGTAACCCAGTGCTCAATATGTGTTATGCTTCTCTGTCTGTGCTTGGTCCAATGAAGATATGAATGTATTTAACTGTCAGCCAAAGCCAAATTTATTCCTTCACTTCATGCTGTAGAGGTTTATGCTCTACATAGAGGTTACAGGTTCAATCCCCAGTGACAACCAAAGTGTTGGTTATATGAAAAGGAATATTACATTATTCTTTACTTCTGAAGAATGTCACCAGCATCTAGCTTTAAATAAAACTCTTTATACCCAGCATAATGTTTTTGGCATTCACTCCTATTTATAAACTAATGTCTCAGGGTACTTTTCCTTGAATGTTCTAGTTATGTGGAGCATTTATCCATTAATCTGCTCATTTGATATTATTTTGTTGGAAAGGAATTGGGAAGTGCTTCCATTCCTAATTACTATTCGGTATGAGAGATTTGCCTTCACCAGGTTGGTCTTCTCCATTGATAAAGGAAAGTGACTTCAATCATGATACTCTTCTTATAAAAAGATTGGTATTGTATATGTAAATTCACTTTCTGCAAAGGAGATCCCCACTCCAGAGCTGAACAGTTGTTCCTCTTGGCTCCCTTGCAGGTAATTCTGCCTCCTAGCTGTTGCTAAGCAATTCAGAACTAGTGGTAATACCTCCTTGCTGCAGCCCTTTCTCTCTAGTGGAAGCTTCCATAGCCTCAAGCACTACTAAAACAATTATGAGAAATGCTTATCAACAATAAAACATGGGCAGGATTCCAGACTAGAGTCTCTCTCCGAGAAAGTGCATTAACATGATAGAAGTCAAAATCCTCCTATGATTGCAGTCTTTTTTCTCTATTGATTGGGAAAACCAGTTTAGTGAGTGCAGCCAGAGAGCTGTCTTGCGGGTGAGAGGAGGTTGGTGAGCAGGTGAGAGGAGGCCAGGATGACCACAGCTGAGGAAGCAACATATGGAAAATCCATCAGGAGGTAGAGATTTACCCAGGCTTTCTCTATCTGCTTGTTTCTGCCATAGCTTCTGGGTCACGAGCCTGGAGCTAGATGGCTAATACCTTAGAACAGCAGGTCTATGCTGAACTAGTTTAACTAGTTTTGGTAACCAGTTCAAGATTCCTCTGGATATTAGATTCTGTCACATGGGTAATGTGAAGGGTTGTCATCGCTGGGGTGCAGCCTGGGAGCTGTGGGAACCGCTGTGCCCCTCTAAGACACACAACTGGGTTGGCTCTATATTCACACATCTTGGTTGGAAACACAGCCAGCCTCACCTGGACCTGTTAACACCCAACACAACAGCAGATGGTGCCACTCACCCAAATGGAACCGCCTGAGTGCAAACAGCAGACACTAGCCAATTCCCCAACTCCCCAGGCATACCCACCCTCCCGCCGCTGGAGGATGAACCCAAAATTATACGGTCTGGCACTACACAGAGCTCTGTACAATGTAAGCTCATAAATAGTTCACTCTCCTCTCGATGTGGGAAAGATATGCAACAAACCTGTGTTAACCAAGCTGAGATTTTTCCCCAGGCACTTCACTCAAAGACACCCTGGTTTAGATAAAACAAAAAACAGATTTTAAGTGATTATAAGTAATAGCAAACAGATCAAAGTAGATTACCTAGTAAATAAACAAAACCACAAACTAAACCTAAAAAGAAAAGGAGTACTTGTGGCACCTTAGAGACTAACAAATTTATTTGAGCATAAGCTTTCGTGAGCTACAGCTCACTTCATCAGATGCATTCAGTGGAAAATACAGTGGGGAGATTTATATACACAGAGAACATGAAACAATGGATGTTACCACACACACTGTAAGGAGAGTGATCAGGTCAGGTGAGCTATTACCAACAGGAGAGTGTGTGTGTGTGTGTGGGGGGGACCTTTTGTAGTGATAATCAAGGTGGGCCATTTCCAGCAGTTGACAAGAACGTCTGAGGAACAGTGGTGGTGGGGAGGGGGGCGGCGGAAATAAACGTGGGGAAATAGTTTTAGTTTGTGTAATGACCCATCCACTCCCAGTCTTTATTCAAGCCTAAGTTAATTGTATCCAGTTTGCAAATTAATTCCAATTCAGCATTCTCTCGTTGGGAGTCTGTTTTTGAAGTTTTTTTGTTGAAGAATTGCCACTTTTAGGTCTGTAATCAAGTGCCCAAAGAGATTGAAGTGTTCTCCGACTGGTTTTTGAATGTTATAATTCTTGACTTTTGATTTGTGTTCATTAATTCTTTTACGTAGAGACTGTCCAGTTTGACCAATGTACATGGCAGAGGGGCATTGCTGGCACATGATGGCATATATCACATTGGTAGATGTGCAGGTGAATGAGACTCTGATAGTGTGGCTGATGTGATTAGGCCCTATGATGGTGTCCCCTGAATAGATATGTGGACACAGTTGGCAATGGGCTTTGTTGCAAGGATAGGTTCCTGGGTTAGTGGTTCTGTTGTGTGGTGTGTGGTTGCTGGTGAGTATTTGCTTCAGGTTGGGGGGCTGTCTGTAAGCAAGGACTGGCCTGTCTCCCAAGATCTGTGAGAGTGATGGGTCGTCCTTCAGGATAGGTTGTAGATCCTTGATGATGCGTTGGAGACGTTTTAGTTGGGCGCTGAAGGTGATGGCTAGTGGCGTTCTGTTATTTTCTTCGTTGGGCATGTCCTGTAGTAGGTGACTTCTGGGTACTCTTCTGGCTCTGTTAATCTGTTTCTTCACTTCAGCAGGTGGGTATTGTAGTCTTAAGAATGCTTGATAGAGATCTTGTAGGTGCTTGATCTGTCTGAGGGGTTGGAGCAAATGTGGTTGTATCATAGAGCCTGGCTGTAGACAATGGATTGTGTGGTGTGGTCTGGAGGAAAGCTGGAGGCATATAGGTAGGCATAGCGGTCAATAGGTGTTCGGTATAGGGTGGTGTTTATGTGATCATCACTTATTAGCACCATAGTGTCCAGGAACTAAACCTAAAATACTAGAAAGATTGGATATGAATTAGCAATTTCTCACCTTGGCTCATGATACAAGCAGTCCACCAGGTTTCCATACACAGGCTAAAAATCCTTTTAGCCTGGGACCAACACTTCCCCCAGTTCAGTCTTTGTGCCTCAGATGTTTCCAGGAGTGTCCTTGTGTGGTGAGTGAGGCCCCTAGATGATGTCACACCCCACCTTATGTAGCTTTAACATATGGCGGGAATCCTTTGTTCCAGAAACAGTTCCCAGCCCAGTTTGTGGATAAATACAGGTACTTAAAATGCAGTTCAGTATCATGTGGTTTGCTCACATGCCCTTGCTGAGTCATAGCAGCTATTACTTACAGGCCATCTGAAACATTTACAGGAAGCCTAAGCTTTTCCATAGCCCATTGTCTTTGTTGATGAACCATTAGCACTGTCTAGCTTCATCACTGTGGTACCTGA